AGCATGTCCACCTTGGCTTGAGTGTCTTATCTGATTGTGCCAATCAGTCAGGACACTTAAACTATACATTATCAGCATTTTATCTTTTTTGTGAACCCCTTAGAAGTGTGGTGCCTGGGTAGTCTTTAGGTTAAAGTTAAAGGAATAGTACACCCAAAACATGATTAGCCTTCATTTTCTACTCACCCCCATGCTGGACAACACTGTGGAGTACTTTTTTGATATCTCAAATGCATCTGGAGATCTGGGAGGCTTCTTGCTGTCTGCTGACATTCAAATAATGGAGGTCTATGGTGACCGAGACAGAAAGGTCCATAAAAGTCCACAAAAAACGTGTCAATATTCCTCCATACTGCTCGTCCAATGTATTCCAAGTGTCCTGAGTGGGTAGCATCCAGAATTTACTCGAAACGAAGTCATTTAGAATGTTTTTAGAGCATAAACAGTAGTGTATAGGATTTCCTGAAAGCGCGCACATGCGCGATCCCGACGCTACGGAAGCCGGCAGACCAAACCAGCGCATTCAGCTCGGCAAAGAACTCATCCTCTTCCTCAACACTGAAGTCCTCAGACATTTTTCTTTCGTTGTTTCTTTCTTTGCACAGGTAAATGGCACATTTCTTCTTCTATGCTTGCATTATTAGCAGAGCAGACGCTGAATGCGCACTTTCATCTGGTTTGGTCTGCCGGCTTCCGTAAGGTCCTGAACGCGCTGGCGCGCGCTTTCAGGAAATCCTATACACTACTGTTTATGCTCTAAAAACATTCTAAATGACTTCGTTTCGAGTAAATTCTGGATGCTACCCACTCAGGACACTTGGAATACATTGGACGAGCAGTATGGAGGAATATTGACACGTTTTTTGTGGACTTTTATGGACCTTTCTGTCTCTGTCACCATAGACCTCCATTATTTGAATGTCAGCAGACAGCAAGAAGCCTCCCAGATCTCCAGATGCATTTGAGATATCAAAAAAGTACTCCACAGTGTTGTTCAGCATGGGGGTGAGTAGAAAATGAAGGCTAATCATGTTTTGGGTGTACTATTCCTTTAAGCTAAGGACTGATATACTATAACTCCACCACTGCAATTGGAGGAAGTTCAGGATAATCGAGTCGTCTAGGCGCCTGACGATCCCTTCCTGATCTTCTGGCAGCAACAACTGTTGCTTCCTCTTTTTATTCCCATTTGTTCACACCAAGTGTCTCTCCCGCTTAGTACTTTCCACTACCCTTCCTGTCTTCTCCCTCTTCACCTTCTGACATATCATATCTTTTATTAATTGTTTTTTTTTTTTACAGTTTTTAAATTAATAACCTCTGTAATACAATAGTTTTACACAGATAATTATCTGAATTCCAGTTAGTGTTAACAAAATATTGCATAAAAATGTACATCTCCTTTACAAGAGTAGATGATTTGGTACAAACAAGTTATTATTCTTATTATTTTTTTTTATAGTTTTTGATTATTTGGTTACTGAATCATATTAGCAAAACAATGAACAACATTCTGTGAAGTAGATTCAGCACAAAACATGCTTCATTAATTCTGAAATCTGAAGTTATTAAAAACAAAGCAGAATTTTACATCATACTGTCTGTAAACCATATTGAGTTATATGTATGTATTTTAACAGATGAAGTTACATTTTATTGATTCTAATGGTGAGATGTTTTGTTGTTTAGTTTAAAAAACATCATAGAGTAAAACTAAGTTTGTGAAATTTTATGTTTTACAATTCAAATGCTGACATCTGTGTGTTACACACAAAGTTTATGAATATCAGGAAATTCATATCACTGGTAAATTCCCATGAGCTGCAGATGAGAATAAGGTCTGTTATCAGCGGGAAGGAGGATGCAAATGTCTCTTTATGAAACTCCTTTTACCAACCCCCTATCAGGAAATAACAAACAGCTCTTAAAGGAATAGTACACCCAAAACATGATTAGCCTTCATTTTCTACTCACCCCCATGCTGAACAAAACTCTGGAGTACTTTTTTGATATCTCAAATGCATCTGGAGATCTGGGAGGCTTCTTGCTGTCTGCTGACATTCAAATAATGGAGGTCTATGGCGCCCGAGACAGAAAGGTCCATAAAAGTCCACAAAAACGTGTCAATATTCCTCCATACTGCTCGTCCAATGTAATCCAAGTGTCCTGAGTGGGTAGCATCCAGAATTTACTCGAAACGAAGTCATTTAGAATGTTTTTAGAGCCTAAACAGTAGTGTATAGGATTTCCTAATAGCGCCCCCATGCGCGCTCACGATTCTACGGAAGCCGGCAGACCAAACCGGAAGTCAGCGTCAGCGCATTCAGCTCGGCAAAGAACTCATGCTCTTCCTCAACACTGAAGTCCTCAGACATTTTTCGTTCGTTGTTTCTTTCTTTGCACAGGTAAACAGCACATTTCTTCTTCTACGCTTGCATTACTGGCAGAGCAGACGCTGACTTCCGGTTTGGTCTGCCGGCTTCCGTAGAATCGTGAGCGCGCATGGGGGCGCTATTAGGAAATCCTATACACTACTGTTTAGGCTCTAAAAACGTTCTAAATGACTTCGTTTCGAGTAAATTCTGGATGCTACCCACTCAGGACACTTGGATTACATTGGACGAGCAGTATGGAGGAATATTGACACGTTTTTGTGGACTTTTGTGGACCTTTCTGTCTCGGGCGCCATAGACCTCCATTATTTGAATGTCAGCAGACAGCAAGAAGCCTCCCAGATCTCCAGATGCATTTGAGATATCAAAAAAGTACTCCAGAGTGTTGTTCAGCATGGGGGTGAGTAGAAAATGAAGGCTAATCATGTTTTGGGTGTACTATTCCTTTAAGGTGAGGAAGTCAGGCAGTTATAAAAATATATTTTCATCATTTTACCCTTATAAATATAAATGATATATATATCATATATTTAAATAACATTGTAAGTCTGAATTTATTCCTTTTTTTTATCTTGTTTATTTACAAAACTTGTTTGTAGACACCAAGTTTTCCTTTCGTGAAATCACATCACTGAGATACTTCAGAAGTTGTACCTCTGATTTTTATTTTTACTGAAAGTCATCATATTTGACTCGATCAAAGATATTCTTAATTGTGAGTTTGCATGTGTTATTCAAATTCCCACTACAATAAAACAATTTTCTCCAGGGCTTAACAAAGCAGCTGAGTACAGTACACAATCAGTTTCTCTAACTTTTACTTTTGCTGCTTTTCATGACGAAATATAAAATCCAAGTTGTTTCTCCTGAAGACTGTTACTATAGTTTACCTGTAGAATATGAATATATGATTAACTAGAACTAGGATTTGTATTGACAAATCATTCAAAATCAAGATAAAACCAATTGAATATTCTTAGTAATCTGCCTACCAACCAGGATTTTTGCCCTCTCACACTCTGGTTGGCCTCTGGACCAGTTATCCCCACCAATTTAGTGACTAAGGCTGGGGCTGTCAGCAGAGCTATTATGGTCTCTGGGGAGTCTTGAAGGTAGGCAAAATGTCAATACATCAAATAATGTCTGTTCAAAAATATATGCAGATATGATGAGCAATAATAGGTGCAGTTAAAAACATAAATTCATTCAGCTTACACTGGTGTTTAAAAATGTATTAACAATACAGCATTGTAGCACAGCAGCAAAACTATGTTCATCTAACCCAGTTGGGGGTTAGATTTTGTGAATCTCACAAAATGGTGGATTTTTTTCATTTGACCTAAAAGGGAGGTGGACTAAAAATCTCAAGACAATGGGTTTTAAGACTCAGAAAATGGCAACCCCTAGCATGTGGTTGTACAATATTTAAAAAAAGGCTCTCAGTTGCTCTATTACACGAACCTCAGGACTCTGCTCTGATGGCAGATCAATGGAAAAAATCTTTAGCTAACCAGCTTCCTGAAGGATCCTATATGGATTATTGTGTCTCCTGTCAGGCCTATGAACCCGGTGAAAAGAGGACGAGAGGTTTCAGCGCGTCGGTTTTAAAGCTGTATGAAGGAGGGCTGACTTCCCCACATCACATTTGGGGGGGGTATTTTAGATAATCCTAAAGTATCATAGAGTGTGTGAGTGAAAGATCTGTGATGAACTGCTGACCCGTCCAGGATTTATCTGCCTGCTGTGGATCCTCATTGGTCCACGTCCCCAAAACCAGACAAGGTGAAAGCAGATATAGGAGAAAATATGGATGAATGCATTTATTGGTGACATCACTGAAACCACCTGTTTAAAGCTACAGTGTGTAATAATTACAGGGATATACAGTCAGAAATGTAATATATTATACATAATTATGTTATTTATCATCATCTACGAGCTCAGCCTCTTAACCTTAATATTTGCGTTGCCTTATAATTCGTTATTTATAATTACATAGGAGCGGGTCTCGCAGCCATGGAGGCAGACATCTTTGCGCTACGGCAGCGCAGAGCCAACAAACTAGCGATTGTGAGATCGCCAAAACGTCACAACGATGTAGAAAAAATAACGGGTATATTTATTATCTTAAGTCTACATGAAATCTATACCCTACACAGACTAATGAAATACGATCTGTAAAATTATCTATGTAAACAAACCTCATCACTTGAGAAGGTAGGTGATGGGGACGTCGTGGAAGACATTTTGTCCCGTAACGCTCGCCGTACTGTTGGGGGGGAGAAGCGGTGGGGGGGAGATGTTCATGTTGCTGCGGTCTGCAGTCTGTACGTTAGATGTCGCCAAAAGTTACACACTGTAGCTTTAACAGATGACAAATAATGACATGACAATGACATATAAAAGGCATTATTATTAAAGAATATTTATAATTAAAATATATAAAGGTCTCAGTTATGGATTCTGTTCTCATTCCTCCTCACATGTTCTTCTATAACATCCTGATCTATGCCAGGTCATTGATGCAAATGAACCTCATACCTGCACGCCATGCTGTTTTTAGCCATGAATATTCAGATGCAGTTCCTGAGGCAGAAAAACTGATCTGTTTGAAACAGGACTGAACATTTACTAAGAGCTGCCTTCAACAGAACATCAAGATAAAACAGCTTTGAAATCCCAGTGAGCAAATCCAGATGTAAGTTTCTCATTTTTTTAATAGTTAGAGTTCAGTTATGTGGAGAAATGTTTGATTTAGAGCATTTACATATGATATAAACTGTTCCTGATTTTTTTTTTCTTATTTACAGGTATTTGTTTAATGTTTCTTTAAAAATATAAAGAGATTTATCAGGCTATAAAAAATAAACTCTCTTTGTTTTAGAGTTCAGTTATGTGGAGGTATGTTTGATCTAGAGCATTTTAAAAAATGTTTAAATTACACATGGTTTTTCTAATGCTTTTTTTAAATATAGAGATTTTCATCCATCTAAAGAAAAAATCACTCGAAAAACTAAAATACTACTTTTAGTCCAACAGAAAATAACAAAATTCCAACCAGAAATACCAACAAAATAAATTCATGCATGAGAGGAAAAATGCAGTGGGATTTATTTCTGGTTATTTTGTTCGGTAAGAGACTTTAAATAAAACTGTAATGAAATTTTAAAAAAAGCTTTGTTCATCACAGACTGTTATAGTTGCTTATTAATCCTGTGGGTACTATTGTTTTCAGTTCAGCCCAATATGATGGTCTGTCAGCTTTATGAGTATCACTACATTAGAGAGCTAAAGACCTGGACTGAAGCTCAGCAGTACTGCAGAGAGAACCACACTGACCTGGCCACAGTGTCTAACATGGCAGACATGAAGAGACTCCTCAATAACTCAGCAGGAAACATGAATGAAGCTTGGATTGGTCTGTATGATCAGACAGATGGTGACAGAACATGGTACTGGTCTCTGCCTGGAGTGGAGTTCAATGAGACAAACTGGAAACCAGGAGAACCAAATGATATAAGAACTGAAAACTGTGGGATTATAAGTAATCCTCTCAAATGGGGAGACGTATCTTGTAACACTAGACTTCATTTTATTTGCTATAATGGTGAGAATAGAAATATTTCTCTCTTATTTTCGAAGACTTCTTTTATTAATCCATAAGAAACCATATAAAAATATGAATATGCTTTTATTATTATTTTACTATTTTTATATTTGGTTTCCATGTCGCTAGAGAGAGCATTGCTGACCTTTTTTATCCTGATCTATACAGTTTTTCACTACAGTAATTTTAACTCTTTGCAGAAAGTAAAACACCAGAGAAATTCTACTTGATTAAACAATCGAAGACCTGGCTGGAAGCTCAGAGTTACTGCAGAGAGAAACACACAGATTTGATCAGTGGAATAAAGGAGCTACAGGGAGAACAACTGAAGAATGTTCTATCTGTAGATATTTGGGTGTTTATTGGTCTGTTCAGAGACACCTGGAAGTGGTCAGATGGAAGCAGCTTTTCTTTCAGACACTGGAACCTTCAGTTTAATGATGAGAAATACAACAGTGGTCAATGTGCCATGACTGTGTTTGATGATGGAGGCAGATGGAAGAATGGGGACTGTAAAGAGAAAAAACCTTTTATCTGTTATGATGGTGAGTTGATTTATTTCATACTTAACACATAACATTTCTGTACTTACCATTAATATCTAAAATTTTATTTTAATTAAATTTTCAGTTTTATGTGCCTTCAAAGTCCTTTATCTTTTTAATTTCTTCTGATCACTTAACAGGTTTCTTTTCATCCGGTGCTCAAGTTATATTAGCATATAAACTCTGCCACTTTCTTAGGCACCAGCCTAAATGAATCTTCTGTTTCTCATCCCATTGGACCCATGGCTAAGCTCACTGATCCTAACTAACAAATTTAACTAATGAAGACTAAAGTTAATCAGATAAATCTAGAAGGTCCAGCAGTTGATGCCCACTGATTCTCTTAAGATTCCACATAGGCTAGCTGGGAATAAATGTCCTAATTAATTTCCTACTGTAGGGATTAAAACAGTAACGATAATGAATGAATGAGATGGGGAAATCTAACAAGCAGAGCCTCTATATCTACTCCCAAAGCCTGCAAACTGTCTCCCATTTATTCTCAATTTCTTTACTCTAATGTCACCAACTTTTTCCAGGAGGGATTAAAACGTTATTATTTTAAAGCCTCAGGATGAAACTTTTTTCATGATAAACCTTCAGGAAAGAGAAATGTACGAAAGTATTTAAGGACACTTACAAAAAGAAAACTCCCAGAGATAAGGTTGGAGAAAAAACAAAAATGTGCACAGAAAGGATAGATTGATTTTGAAAAACAAGATTAATGACTAGGATTATAAAAGGATACAAAGCAGTTCAAACATGTTCTCTAAAATAAAAAGATTGTATAAAGAGAGGCTGTCTAATAATCCCTATCTAACCCCCAGAACTGAATAATAGAATCCAATAATGCAGAACACAATCCCACAAACACCTAAGAAAGTTAAACTAGGTGAACTCCTAGCCCAGTAATAAGAAAGTGAATAAGTGTGATTAGAAAATAAGGAAGGAGCTTATTAACAACAAACATTTTAAAGAAAAATAGAATATCTTTATTAAGGATAGGGCATTGGCTGGTCCTTTTTTACTTCACAGGCTATGTATGGATTTCCCTTCCTATTTTCCTGGCAGGGTGTTCCCCTCCTTGGTCCTAATGTCTCATTAACTAAGAACTAAACCAGTTTAATATGACATGAGCCTTTAAACAGTAATCTATACTGTTGTGTGTATTAATCAGAAATTGTAACTACTGTTCAGTAAGGGGATGGGCACAGACAGCAACAATGGTCTGGAAGACTCTGTGTATTTAAGCAATTTTACCCACACAGCTAAACGTTTGTTGAACAACTATCACTGCAACTTTAGGCCCTCACTAAGCCCATGAACCTTGGAAACATGTCAGAGTAAATAAACACTTCTATGTCTCTTAAACCAAAATTCTGACTTTTCCATCTGAATGCTACTGCTTGATACAGGTTTCACTGGAATAGATAACAGGTTACTTATTGGTTAGGATAGATGGTGCAAACATTATCTTTAGTTCCCTCTTTTATCTCATGGCTCTTATTTCCCATTTCAAATCAAAACTCTTATCAATTGCATTGGTTTTGGATCATATCTTAAACAAACATTTATTTTTATTTTCACTGACAGATAATCTGGTCCTGGTCCAAGAAAAGATGAACTGGGCGAATGCCTTATCCTACTGCAGGGAACACTACCATGATCTGGTCACCATCAAAACCCTTGAACAGCAGATATTGGTCCAAGAGAAAGCCAAGAAGGCATCGACTCCTTTTGTCTGGTTAGCACTGCGCTATAACTGCACTAAGAAGTTCTGGATCTGGGTTTGTCCTGAGGGAGTCACTGAGAGAACCATGAACTCAGATGGAGAGGTCGATGACTGTAACATCTCTGGAGCCATGGACACTGGAGGACAACATAAGTGGTTCCAAATAAATGGTGGAGAGGAGTTTAATTTTATTTGTTCTAAGATTTAAGGTTGCACATCTTTTATCTTTCACCTCATGTATCAGTAATGGGCTTTGTTACAGTTGTAACCATTAAAAATGTCCCCGTTTTCTTCGATGGGCTTTTGGCAGATCCTTGGCTTTTACCCTTCTATCCCTTTTTAAACATAAATCTTTGTACTAAAATATTCTTTCTGTCATGATTTGTGGAGATTAAGATTTAAAGAGAGGCATTATCTGGGGAGTGGTGGCCTAGTGGTTAGGGCATAGGGCTTTGAATCCTGAGATCATCTAATCTACCCCACTCCCCCAGACTGCCACTCTGGGTCGCTGAGCAAGACCCTTAACCCCACACTGCTCCCTGGGTGCCGCACAATGGCAGCCCACTGCTCCCCAAGGGGATGGTTTAAATGCAGAGATAAATTTCTCCAATGTGAGATCAATAAAGTTCAATTATTATTATTATCTCCTGGTCAGACCCTGTAATTCACTGAAAGGATGGAGTCAGAGAAAAAAAAATATGCATGCCCAGGAGGGGATTTTGTTGGGGGCTGCAGGGAAATGGGCTGCCATTCGGATGGCATTTGATGTTTGAATGACTGCTGCTGTATATCATTCCTTATCTGTTTAACTTTAGGACAGTCAATAGTCAAACTTTAAATGGACATAAAGAACAGTCTTTAATTTTAAAAGTTAGTTTACATATTTATCTAGAGTTTAACAGACATTCATTGACCTGAACTTTTCCAGATAAGCTTCCCTCTTTTGGAAATAGGTGGAAATTATATAACATGGTTTAGATTACATGTCCTGTATAGTTTCTTTGAATGATCCTTATCATACTTCATACTTCTTCTGGTTAAACAGAAACGTTGTAGTTCTTCACTTTATCCGAATGCTGCATTAATGAAATGACTTAATCTTTCTTGGTGTTTTTCTTTCCAAAAGTTAACAAGCCACATGTGGTTATCACTAATAATGCATTGCACTACTGAATAAAAACATTTTATATAAAAAAAATCTGAGTAAATCATTTATGATTATTGAAAATTGAAAATATGTTGTATTCTTAGCACATTTAATCAAATTTAATCAATTGCTGTTCTAACAACCATTTGATTAATTACTAGATTTATCTGAAAGTGGAGATTTAATCTGAATCTATTGATGCAGTTTATGTGTGTTTTTATTAAACTCCAACAATCTTTAAATGTACCTTGTTTTTATTCATAACATGCCCTAGATGAACTCTACAAGACTGTTTTTTCTATACTTCAGCTCACACCCTAGTTTCCACTGAGGGTAGATCAACTGTACTAGTTCCCTTATTCCAATTTTCATTTGTGCCCATGATCTATGCATTAATGTACTGTTTAGCAGGTCCACCTGGTTAGTGACTCACACCTTCATTATCATCCTCAGCCAGATAGATGTGGTCATTAACCTGTGTTCTTGCCCTGCAGAGTTTCCTGCCTTAGACACCCTAGTACTAGATGTCCCGGAGAATTTCAGGCCCCGTCCACACGAAGTCAAAACGAATACGAAACGCTGATATTTTCCAAAACGTTTGCCGTAAAGACGGAGACGTAAAAGAAATGTGAGCGTCCACACGAATGCATGAAAACGCTGCAAAATGTATGCCAGGCCTGTAAGTGGCGCTGTGATGCCAAAGCAAGAATAGGCGACGAAATGTTGGGCATGCGCACTACAACAACCAAACTGGAAAACCCCTAGAAGAAGAACCGAATAGAAAAGATGGCGGCAAGTATGACTGGGCGAGCATGTACAAGTCTTGTTTGGACAGATGATGAAGTGGAACTGCTGCTTCGAGTTACACTGGATTATAAAGTCAAAAGACTACAAGAAAGTGTCGATTGGGAGACGTGTCATTCGAAATACAGCGATATAATGTCGGCTTTCCAGGAGCAATATCCACGTGACTGTACAGACCGTGACTTTCCTCAGGACTCCAGAGCAATTACAAAAGCACAACTGACCGCAAAGATCAAAAATATCAGGGTAAAATACAGAGCAGCGGTGGACAGTGGACGAAAGAGTGGCTTTGGGCGTGTGGTGCTCTTGTTTTTCGAACTCTGTGAGGAGATCTGGGGTGGATCGCCTGCTACGCGCTCGATTGAATCTGGAGTCGAGACGGCGGACCTGGACGAGACTTCCATGCAGATGTCGGAGACTTCGGATCAGCCCGCTGACTCGCCGCAATCTGCAGTCTCAGCCGAAAGTGTGCTGCCTTCTCCAGTAATCAAGCAGCGCAGACATATGCTGCAGGTAGGTTTCATCAACGCCCTACATGTACTTATTAGAGTACCGTATTTTCATGACTACAAGGCGCATATAAACGTCTTTTTTTCCCCTCAAAATGTGCGGCGCGCCCTTAGGTGTGGTGCGCCCTACTAGAAATTTAATACAAAAGTAACCCAGAGAGTCAGATGTTAAGTGTTATTCCCAGATATAACCAAACTTTGACAAACGTATAGCAAAATAAGTAAAAACAAATAACAATAAAAAGTCATAAGTAAGAAGCAGCTACAGTGTAAAACCCCAGATGCCTTATTGTAAAATTCACCCACAGCCCTAAAAAATGGACTATAATACTTATACTGGGAAAAACAAACTGTGACCGCTTTATCAGAAGCAGTGCATAGTTCTTAATGGTTGCTGTAGTTCACAAAGCAAAGTAAAATACCAAATAGACCTCTGTGAAAGAAAAAGAAAAGCTGAACGCTTTATCAGAAGCAGTGCATAGCTATTATTGATTGCTATAGTTCACAAAGCAAAGTAAAAGACTAAATAGACCTCTCTAAAAAAAAAAAACTGAATCTTTTTTTTCTATTTGGTATTTAACTTTGCTTTGTGAACTATAGCAACCATTAAGAACTATGCACTGCTTCTGATAATGCGTTCAGCTTTTTTTTTCTTTCACAGAGCTCTATTTGGTACTTTACTTTGCTTTGTGAACTACAGCAATCATTAATAACTATGCATACTATTTCTGTTGGAGGCGCTCAGACCCCCACATACCAGCTGCATAGTACGGTGCGCCTAATAGATGTAACTGACTTGAAATACCATGTAATGTTCCCTTTTAAATCAACAAACATATGCCAAACTGTTGCCCACTATATAATGTTCTTATTTCATTTCAGGCCAAGCTGAATAGCCACAGAGGAGACAGGCTGAAGAGGAGGACTCCTACAGAGACCACAGAGGAAGATATTCAGATTAAAAGAAGAATGCTTGAGCTGATGGAGCAGACATCAAGGCGCAATCAGGAGAACATACAACAAATTAACACAAACATAGCCAACATCACCAACACCATACAAGATGGATTTCCGTTACTGAGGGAGCTGTTACTCCAGCCTCCACCTGCACGTCACTACAATAGCAACACTGCTTATGGACACTTCCAAGGACACCAACAGTCACAGTTGTACCCAAATCCACCATCCAATTCAACAGCCCACTGTCACACACCAAGTCCAGCACTCCACTCAGGAAGATATACACCAACGACCCCACAATCACAGGAACCATCACAACATAACACACCCTCATTTTCTTACACCCGATCACTTTTTCAAGATGAATAAGTTCATCTGTTGCACAGTTACAATGTAGCACATCATCACTCAGGTGAATTGTTTGGTTCGTTGAAAAGAACCAAGTTCTTTTAGTTGTTTTGATTTTGCACAGCCTGGGTTATGTGACCCAGCTTTAACAACTGTTTCACTTTAATACAGTTATAATGTAGCACAACATCACCCGGGTGAATTGTTCAGTTCTCGGAAAAGAACCAAGTTTTTTTGTACTTTTGATTTTGCACAGCCTGGGTTCTGTGACCCAGCTTTAACAACTGTTTCACTTTAATAAAAGCCATACTGGAGTGTGCATTTGTTTCATTTATTGCATTTAAGCATAACATTTAATATATCTATATTTGTCAATATACAAGTCAAGTGGAACTTTAAGATCGCTCACAAATGTCTTGAACTTGGAAGTGGAATCTACAATTTGTTATTATCAACCATTTTTTAATTTTTTTTTTTACTCTAGCTAAAAATATCTGCACACAGGTAATATGAATGCAGGACTAGTAGTCATAGAAAATACTTATATACAAAGTAAATATCTTGAGCTTGGAAGTGGAATCAAAAAGTTGTAGTTATCAACCTTTTTTTAATTATTTTTTTTTTACTCTAGCTAAAAATATCTGCACACAGGTAATATGAATGCAGGACTAGTAGTCATAGAAAATACTTATATACAAAGTAAATATCTTGAGCTTGGAAGTGGAATCAAAAAGTTGTAGTTATCAACCTTTTTTTAATTATTTTTTTTTTTACTCTAGCTATAAATATCTGCACACAGGTAATATGAATGCAGGACTAGTAGTCATAGAAAACTTATATACAAAGTAAATATCTTGAGCTTGGAAGTGGAATCAAGTTGTAGTTATCAACCTTTTTTTATTTATTTATTTATTTTTACTCTAGCTAAAAATATCTGCACACAGGTAATATGAATGCAGGACTAGTAGTCATAGAAAATACTTATATACAAAGTAAATATCTTGAGCTTGGAAGTGGAATCAAAAAGTTGTAGTTATCAACCTTTTTTTATTTATTTTTTTTTACTCTAGCTAAAAATATCTGCACACAGGTAATATGAATGCAGGACTAGTAGTCATAGAAAATACTTATATACAAAGTAAATATCTTGAGCTTGGAAGTGGAATCAAGTTGTAGTTATCAACCTTTTTTTATTTATTTATTTATTTTTACTCTAGCTAAAAATATCTGCACACAGGTAATATGAATGCAGGACTAGTAGTCATAGAAAATACTTATATACAAAGTAAATATCTTGAGCTTGGAAGTGGAATCAAGTTGTAGTTATCAACCTTTTTTTATGTATTTTTTTTTTTACTCTAGCTATAAATATCTGCACACAGGTAATATGAATGCAGGACTAGTAGTCATAGAAAATACTTATATACAAAGTAAATATCTTGAGCTTGGAAGTGGAATCAACAAGTTGTGGTTATCAACCTTTTTTTATTTATTTTTTTTTTTTTTTGTTACTCAGGCCAAAAATAACTGCACACAGGTAATATGGAGGCAGGACTGGTAGTCATACAAATTGTTATATACAAAGTAAATATAGTAGCTGTTCAAAAGCTTGCAAATCTTTTCCCAAATGCAGATCTGCAAGTAAATGTCACAATGCAATACATATGCAATAGCATTTCCACTATCCTAGTTTTTAAGGATCAAGGTACTTCATGACAACTCTTCTCACTCTCTTTCCTTCCCCCTCATTGCAGTCAGTGACGTAGTTGTTGCTCTGTGTGGGAGGCTGAGAGTCCAT